CTGTTAAACGTGACGTTTTCTCCTTATTTTGCCTTTAAGAAATAAAAAATTTAGGCCAGAACTCCGTCAAACTAACAAAAACAAACCCACCCAAAAGGCCAAAACCTCCCTTTAGCACCAAACAGGAGGCAGACGGGTTTCCGGGGAAACGTCCGACAGGTTTCCTTCGATTCTTACGGTCGGACAGAGAACAAAAAATAAGATAATATAAGATTATAATAAGATAATAGCCATCAAGAGACTGAATCTGGAGGCTCCCCTCTCGAGTTACCGGGCGGATTAGGTGGCGGACACCTGGGGCTGTAGTGACCTCCGCCCCCCCCTGCTGGTTGTGTGTGTGAACTGCAGGAACCTGCCCCTGGCCATCGCCATCTCCATGCCCATCGTCACGGTCATCTACATCCTGACCAACGTGGCCTACTACGCCGTCCTGCCCATGAACGCCATCCTGGACAGCGACGCCGTGGCCGTGGTAGGTGTCCCTAGGACGCCCTAACCCTAACCCTGATCCTAACCCTGACCCTGACCCTAACATCTGACCGCCTCCGCCCGCAGACCTTTGCTGACCGGGTGTTCGGCGTGATGAACTGGACCATCCCCTTCGCCGTGGCCCTCTCCTGCTTCGGGGGACTCAACGCCTCCATCGTGGCGGCCTCCAGGTGAGAGACACACACTCTCTTTTTGAGAGTCACAAACACTTTTTAGGAGTCACACGCTCTTTTTGAGAGTCACACACACTCTCTGAGAGTCACACACACTCTGTTAGAGCCAAACACACTTTTTGAGAGCAACACACTTTTTTTGAGAGTCACACACACTCTTTTTGAGAGTCACGCACTTTTTTTGAGAGCCACACACACTATTTGAGAGCCACACACTCTTTAGGAACCACACACACTATCTGAGAGCCACACACACTCTTTTTTAGAGCCTCACAGTCTTTTTTAAGAGCCACACACACTCTCTGAGAGCCTCACACACTCTTTAGGAGTCACACACACTTTTTGAGAGCCACACACACTCTCTCAGAGCCACACACACTCCTAGAGCCACACACTCTTTTTGAGAGCCAAACACACTCTCTGAGAGCCTCACACACTATCTGAGAGCCACACACTCTCTGA